TTTTTTTTTTTTTAAAACTGAAACCATTTCCTCCTCTTTACCCGATTTTCACTTTCCCTACCTTAACTTATATTTTATTCTTCAATCTCATGGATAAAATTAAGCATTTGATGGAAGAAATTGCATTTTCTTTCTTTCGCGCATTCTCCTCGTCAGCTCATGGATATTTTGATTCCAGTTTCTCGCTTCGATGGCCCCCACATCCCAGCATTCCCCCACCGACAATTCCCAAAGAACCTCCCCGGTCACTAGTGGCTCAACAGCTATCGATGCCAACTGACATTTTGATTCCAATCTACTCCATTTCTGCCGAAAAAAAGATGAAGGTGAATTGATATCCCAATCCCCAAAATTTGGGTTTTATAATCTTTCTCTAAATAGAAAATTGAAAAATGCAGGTAAGGACTCGGAGGATTACTCGCCGGGCAGGGTGCCCATCCGCCCTTTGCCGACTCCGCCAACTACGGCGTCTGACGAGGATCCTTCGCTGATAATGGATTGTATCACTCTCATGAGTTTGATTAGCAGAGGTAACCTACTTTCTTATTAAAAAAAAAATCGTTCTTATATTTGTAGTAACCTGAATGATTTGATTGTGGTTTTTTTTCTAAGTCCATATTTTGAGATCACATCAGTTTTGTTCAGGTAAATTCTCGAACCATTAATTCTATCAACCTTGTTATCATTAAGCATAAAGACTGCAGAAAGGTATTGAAAATAGACTTTTAAAATAGACTTTTGATGACTAGGGAGTGCTATCAATAGAATGTAAAAGTCTATTTTCAATACTTAGCTTTGTGCAATCTTTCTCCTTCATGATAAAAAGGTTGATAGAATAGATGGATCGAGAATTTACCTGAACAAAACTGATGTGATCTCAAAATATGGACTTAGAAAAAAAACCACAATCAAATCATTCAGGTTACTACAAATATAAGAACGATTTTTTTTTTAATAAGAAAGTAGGTTACCTCTGCTAATCAAACTCATGAGAGTGATACAACCCATTATCAGCGGAGGATCCTTGTCAAACGCCGGAGTTGGCGGAGTCAGCAAAGGGCGGATGGGCACCCTTGTCTGGCCGGCGAGTAATCCTCCGAGTCCTTACCTGCATTTTTCAATGCATTTAGATAAAGATTATGAAACCCAAATTTTGGGAATTGGGATATCAATTCACCTTCATCTTCGAGCAGAAATGGAGTGGATGGGAATCAAAATGTCGGTTGACATCGATAGCTGCTGAGCCACTAGTGACCGGGGAGGTTCTTTGGGAATTGTTGGTGAATCTATTGGTGGAGGAATGTTGGGATGTGGGGTGCCATCGAGAAACTGGAATCAAAATATCCATGAGCTGACGAGGGGAATGCTGGGGCTGGAAATCGCGAAAGAAAGAAAATGCAATCTCTTCCATCAAATGCTTAATTTTATCCATGAGATTGAAGAATAAAATATAAGTTAGGGTAGGGAAAGTGAAAAATCGGTTAAAGAGAAGGAAATAGTTCCAGTCGATTGAAAAAAAAAAGGCTAAAAAATTAGGGTAGGAAAGTGAAAAATTGGGGAAATAGGAAATGGTTTCAGACGGTTGGAAAGTGAAAAGTTGGGAAAGAGGAGGAAATGGTTTCCGACGGGTGGCGCCCGTTTTTGTTTTTTTTCCCAGCCAATAAGAAGCTTCCATGTCCATTATGTTGCACTTTATACAATTAACAAGAATGTATACAATTAATTAAGTTAGCACTTTCAAATTGCAGATACATATTCAGGCATTTTCCTCTCTTTAAAAAATATTTTAATATTATTTTAGGGTAATTTGCATTTATTATTCCACCCCTATCAATATTTCGAAAGAGGCCCAATCAACCTCGCCGCGTACCAAAGACTCGTAGCTCTCAATGTCAAACATTATTAGTGTTTTACATTCATATTCATTTTAGATATTCATTTAGAAATAACAAAATAATGAGATCTTTAACGGAATTAAATTTACAAGCTTTCCTAAGCAAATAGTCAAGACAAATAAGCAAATTGATTCATTTCAGCCACTTTATGCATCAACGAGTTTGAATTCTACTTAATATCCAGTTACTTAATATCTATAAAATCTTATTAAGGCCGACACTACTCTTCTGAATTCTACTAAAATTGGGAAGATTCGAATTTAGTTGGCAAATTTGATAACTCTCATAAGTGATTGTCAGATTCATGCCTAAAATTACGACTAGTAATATATTTCAGCCTAAAACTACAATTATTTTTTTATGACCAAAGAATAAATACAAAATAAGTAAAGCAACAACTTATATATTTATCTTCTACATCCATTTCCTATCAAAAGCAAGTGATATAAGCATTCTCAATTTGTTTTATCAAACAAACACTACAGGTTAGAGCAATAACCCGTGTTCAAATTACAAGTGATATCCTAGTTTCAGATCAGCTTCAAGTGATATAAGCATTCTGAATTTGTTTTATGAGACAGGTCACAACAAGCCATGCTCATAGTTTCATATCAGCTATAAACATGTTTATGCAGGTAAATTCTCGAATCATACATTTCTTATAACTTACGTTGCAGTTTCCTTGTATGGTTCGATTCGACCACGGCTTATTGCTCTAACCAAATCAGCAACCCCATCCTTCCACTTTATTTGATTTGCAACATTCGCGGATGAAAAAGAAACAAACCCAAAAAAAAAAGGGATAACGAAACACTTTCAAGAAAGAAACACTTGGAGAACTAAAACAAAAACATTTTGTAAAACAGAACATTAAACCTAGATCAAACAAATACTTTCAAGAATTGTACCAATTTGTGCTAAGCTCACGTTTAAATCCTTTTCAAAGGAAATCACTTGGAGAACTAATAAAAATAAAATCCGACCATCACCGAAATTTGAGAATGATGCCTGCAAACACAACAAACTCAACTCCACAACCACATCAATGATCAACTCCAACATATACCTTCATCGAGAGATGAAATAAATTGGAAGAACAAAACTAACAACGCGATGTAACCACTGTGGTTGACGGATCGGCGTGGCTGCTGAAACTCGTTGCGAATAAGAGTAAATGCAATCTCTTTGATTATGCGCTTAATCTTCTCTGGATCTCCATGTTCTTCCCGTCCGTGTTGTGGAAGACGTTGAAAAAAATGGCTGAGGTTCAAATTGAAGAAAAAAATGGCCAGAAATTAGGATTCATAATCGGGGAAATGAGACGAACAGACTAGGAGTAATTGTTATTATGTCCGTCCAAATCGTACCCGACCTTGTTATTATGTCGGGCCAAATCAACCCGACCCATATCACGAAGCAGATTGTTTGAAGGAGTGAGGATGTTTGATTTAATTTTGGTTTTATTTTTTTGTGTAATATATTAGTATGGGTAAAAAATATGATTTTTCGTAGTTGTTTGATTTAATTTTATTTTTTTTCGATTATCTTCGAATTATTGGATTTCTTTAGGGCATATTCAATTAACTAGACAAAATTTTGCTTTTCTTTTTGTTTAGGATTTTCGTGGCATGTATATAGTTTAGTTCGTACCGACTATAGGCGAAGGCAGAGGGGAGAAATTGTGGGAGGCGCGATCTGAAAGTGCGGATTCTTTGCTTAGAGGAGGAATCGTGAGCAATTCTCGAATTCCTCCAAAAACTCCATTGTTGCCTTCGAGCTTCTGAAGTAGAAAGGGAAATTGGGAAAAAGATGGCAGTGTTCACGCATATTTGCAGGTTTTTTAAGGGTTGTTAAGTAATTTAAGTGAATCATTGGTACTGATAAATATATCTCACCAAGAAGGCCGAACCAAAATATTAGGCACGTCAAGATAGGAATAAACATGCGGCCAATATCATGGTAAAGAAACACAAAAATGTTGAGTTTGTTTTTATTTTTTTAAAATGTGAAGTTTGTTACTTTTTATATTTTCAAAAAATCAAACAGAATTAAATGCAGTCCTTTAACATTTGGAGTTTGTTCAATTAAACAATGAAGTTGGTGTTGATTAAATATTTTATATGGAAACTTTTTTTTAACAAAAAATCGGGTGATACAATTGTTTTGTTTGGCAACTTTTATTAGTTAATAAAAACATTTACGACTGATT